CACCCCCCACCCCGTGTCAGCTGAGTGATGGTTGTATCTAGCGGTAAGACTAAGAAGATGAGATTGCTTAGTTCACTAAACCACCTCCCTCCCCCCCGCCCAACCCAACGTTGGGGTCTTGAACGTTCACCCAGGTGTATGACTAAACACCAGATGACCGTTATCCTCTCCATGCCTTTCTCTCTGACTAGCTGTCCCCGTCGTTTTAAGCGAGAAAAATTCAGAAATTATGCAAACTGAGCCCAAAAATGTAAAATTATGCGATTCTGTTAATTTTAACAAAGAATGATTAGGGAAAATAATCAGAAATTAAGCAAAAATTGATCAAATTTGGCTAAATTATGCGAGGTGCATAAATCCACAGGGACAGGACTAGCTTTTTTTAGTGGTAAGGCTCTCTGACTCTCAACCGTAAGGTCGTGGGTTCAAATTCCGCCAGGGACCGACGTTGTGTCCTTGAGAAAGGCACTTTACACTTTACACGAATTTGTATCACTTCAGCCAAGTAGAAATGAGTACTTTGCTATAACTTAGCCATAATATGATAAACAGCCAAAGATCTTGTCAGCCAGTCTGTTGTTGGTGTTTTAGCGCTTGTCTTCTCGGTCTGCACTGTATGTTTCCTCTAAGGCAGCCGAGAACGTTTCTGGGTGTTTCAGTAAGGTCTGCTGGGGTAACAATCTGTCCCCGTGGTTTTATGCACCCCGCATAATTTAGCCAAATTTGATCTTTTTTTTTTCTTCAGAATTTCAGATTATTTTCTCTTATCATTCTTAGTTAAAATTAACAGAATCGCAGAATTTCACATTTTTGGGCTCAGTTTGCGTAAATTTCAGAATGTTTCTTGAATAAAACGACGGTGACAGAATAATACATGTACAATGTAATATAAAGCGCATAGAGCAAGTCGTCGTGGAGAGCGGGTGTGCTCCAGTGCTCTAGAAATGCTCGTATTATTATGACGTACAGTATCAAAAGACTTTCATGACATTTCAACCGAATCAGGGAGCAAGAGGTCAAATCTGTTTCATGGTTAGAAGGGGAAATTTCTGTTTTAGACTTGTTTAGTGGTGTGGACCTGTTTTTAGTTTCTCCCTAAAGTCTAAAGTTCACATTTGTAAAAACGGATAAAATAAAGGTGATCATAAAAGAACGAAATTCTTGAGAAAGTAATATATATATTCAACTCAAAACACATTTTTAAACAAAACTTCTGCTCTTCTTGATCATTTCAGGTGGATGTGGAGATTTCTGCCAACGAGATCCTCACATAAACATATCAGAAGACGAATGATGGTTGAAAAAAATGTTTGTTAATGAAGATAATGTCGAGGTCACAGATTTGAAAAGTTGTCGCCAAGACTTTATCTACAACAACAGGACTTTCAATGGGCACAAGAAATGAACGAGATTTTGAGGAAATGTTTTTATGAATTGAACAACTTGTTAGTGGAAGGAATACATGTACTACTAACTGTCCCCGTGGTTTTATGCACCCCACATAATTTTACAAAATTTGGTCATTTTTGGCATAATTTCTTATTATTTTCCTGTATCATTTTTTATTAAAATTAACAAAATCGCATAATTTCACATTTTTGGGCTCAGTTTGCATAATTTCAGAATTTTCCTAGAAATAAAACGACGGGGACAGTGCTAAGGAAAAGCTGATTTAATAGCATTACTTGTGGGTGCTGGGGAGCTTGTTTTCAATTTCTAGATTACTCTATGTGTTTAGAAGTAGGATACGCGTGTGTGTGTGTGTGTGTGTGTGTGTGTGTGTGTATGTGTGTGTGTGATATGTGTGTTTGTGTGTGTGTATGATATGTGTATTTGTGTGTTTATGTGTGCATGATGTATGTTCATGTGTATGCATGCGTGCGTGTGTGCGTAGAGAGAGAGAGAGAGA